ACGACTCGATCCTTGTCATGGTCGATTCCCTCAGCAAGATGGCTCATTTCGTTCCTGCAAAGAAATCTTTCACAGCAGCAGATACCGTGGAGCTCCTCGCAGACCGCCTTATCCGCTACCATGGATTTCCAGAGGCGCTTATATCGGACCGAGACCCCCGTTTCCAGTCGGATCTGTGGAATCAGCTCTGCCGCCTCTTTAACATCAAACGGTGCATGTCCTCGACCTACCATCCTCAAAGCGACGGCCAGACTGAACGAGTGAACCGCACATTGGAGCAGATGCTTCGTACCTATATCAAACCTGACGAACGCGAATGGGAGCGTTTGCTTCCGGCCTTGGAACTTGCCTACAACACAACAAGCCATTCATCCACTGAGCTCTATCGTTTCGAGGTCATGATTGGCGAGAACCCGTTGACGGCTGCGGAACTTGATATCGTAGGCGCGCTAGCTCCTACACTCACTCCCCCGATGACTAAGCTCTTCCGACAGCTCTGCGACAGGGCACAGAGTCACATCCTGAAAGCAAAATGGCAGCAGAAGTATTACGCAGACACGAAGCGCCGAGCAGTGGAGTACGCGATGGGCGACAAGGTCTGGCTCAGCAGCAAGCACCTACCACCTTTCACCAGCTGCCCTAAGTTCGAGCCCCGTTACCGTGGACCCTTCGAAGTCATCGAACGGATAGGAACCGTCGCTTACCGTCTCGCTCTGCCTCCCACCTATGAATGCCATGACGTTTTCCACGTTTCGCAGCTAGTTCCTCACCGCCCCCGCCCTCCCGCTTTGGTTTCCTCGGCAGCCGATGCTGCCTGGCCTCCTATCCACGATGCAGCAGGAAATCCCACAGCGGAATACGAAGTCGACTATATTATGGGCCAACGCGGCTCTGGGGATGCAGCCCAGTACCTCGTGAAGTGGCGCGGAGCCCCTGAAGATCACGCCACATGGGAGCCAGCACACCACCTCACTGGCTGCCCGGCTTTGCTTCGCACTTGGCGCCGCCGCCAACGAAGACGTCTTCAGGCTCGAAACAACTTGGGTTCTTCCGAAGCGTAGAAGTACGGGTCCGCCACGTTCCAGCTCCTCCAGCACGAGCACCCCCTCAATGAGGAGGTGGGAGGGAGCGCTGCGCACCGCGCGCGCTCACCACGGCAGCTTTGGAAAGCACAGAGATTGCACAAGCAAAAATAACGCGTTTGGGACAGGTCTCTTCAGTCCGGCAAGGGGGGAAGTTGTAGTGCTGAGACACTACAATGGGGCTGACTAGTGTCCTAGGGATGATAGCTAGCTAGCGACCTGCAAGGGCCGCGACACTGGAGGGGGACAGGACCCCCCCCAATACATGAAAAAATAAGAAAAACCGTTAGTGAGTTCTAGTGAGAAACGTGAATTGTGCGGAAATCGTGTGGAGACTGGGGCTGGCGATAGCGCCGGCACCAATGCGACCTCCCCCCTTAGGGTCAAGGGGTAAGCTCCGAGAAGGGAGCGAATCGAAGACAGAGAACACACACACGTCTTGAATTGTCGTACTTCGACGAATAAAGCGGTAGAGACCGAGAAATGGGGCTAATCTAGGTGTAGAATGTAGACCTGTAGAGGGACAGGAAACAGCGTAGTCCCAGCAGTAGGCGCTGCGCACTACAGGAGGCCTGCACTGGTGCCGGCGCTATCGCCAGCCCCAGTCTCCACGCATTTTCAGGCACCTCTAGTGTATGCATGTCAATTCGCAGACAAATTGCCGTACTTCGATCCTAGTAAGAGTGTCCTGTACTCCTCCAGTGTTGCGACCCCTTGTAGGTCGCTAGCTAGCTTTCCTCTACAGGTCACCAGCAAGCCCTATTGTAGCGCCTGTGCACTACAATGTGACAGCCGGCTATCGAGGCCAGAAGACCTTTACGACTCTGAGCAAGCACTACTACTAGCCAGGCATGCATATCTACACTACTGCTTACGTGGAACCATGTACCCACTGTCGTGCCTCTAGGTCACTGAGCCAGAAACCTGCAGGCCTTCTTCAACAGCTACTCGTCCCTTCGCGTCTGTGGACTTTTGGAGGTTACTCTTGCAGAATTCCTGTGCTCCAACGGAGATGAATTGGTACTGCCGCCACTGTGCTTTTGCCACTGCACTTTCCATGCTTCCAAACTCATGCTACACGTTACGCGCGACCTTCACGTGCCCGCCAAAGGAGCCGCAGTGGCGTGATTCGGTTTTGCACCTAATATTTCACCGTTGAGTAGGTGTATGTGTGTTTCTCACTCTGACTTCTCGTATCGTGCTGCATAAGGGGATAGCGGGACCTGTAGATCCCGACTAACCAATTTAGAATCCCAGAGCAGTTTTGGAATGTTGATTTCAACCAATACAGCTACATACTTTTGTACCAACTCCATTTATATGCTAACGTAATAATGTCCCCGTATTGGGCAAGACCTCGCCTCACTCCTACGTGGTACCCTTCTCGCTAGCTATATACTTTCAGGCCGAAATATGGTCCAGGATCCCGGATAGTCCCTTAAAGAAGCAAAAAGTCAAATCTGTCTGTCCGCTCTGCTCCGAGGCCTTCGGTGGCCCTCAGTATTTGTGTGCCCCAGCACGCCACACCGGCGACACAGCTAGCCCCTATTCCTGGCCATCCAGCCAAGCACACGAGGCTAAGCCTGCTGCGAAAGCTGAGTTTCTTCAGCTATTGGCCTTGTAATAATGTTTCATACGTGAAACATTTAACGTTGCAGCCTCATGGATTGTGCTCGCCCGATATTGGAGTGCTACACACAACAGTCCGTGTATTCAGTTGAAGTAAGCACATTGACAGTTGCGCGAGCAAAACTCTTGGTTAAACTGAAGTGATGCAAACAAGTTGTTTTCATTAAGCAATACAGCCTGAGCACTTCGTGCCATCCGGTAGTCCCCAAAGCTAGCTTTGCCGCTGAAGCAAGAGAGGTTCGGCATTTCCAGAACTTTATACATGTGTAATTATTTTGTTGAATACACAGCGAGTTTACTCAGCAGTATTGCAATGACAGTTCCGCCATCAACGCTCTTAGTTCAACTGAACGCTTGCACTGTTGCTTTTGTCGCCCTATTCTGTTAAACGTCCTACCTAGTTCGCATTTATCGCTGAAGAAGGCCTCCTCAAGCTTCGTGAGCGCAGGACCACAAGTGCAACTCGTCTTGTTAAAACAAACTAGGTGAGATAATCTTCATAGACAGTTCCCTTGCCCTTGCTGCTGAAGCAACACTAAGCACGCCTAACCTGGGGTGTCCTACACAGGAAGAGGCCCAGCTTGGCTTTTACCTAAAGTCGAGCAACAGTAATTTAGTCAAATATCTGGGAGCTAAGGCCTGAATCAGAGGTGCGTGGGACCGGAAATATCGTTGAGGCATGCCACAACCTCAAAAATATGGCGCTCTAAAGGAAACTAAGACTTCATTATCTTTCTCAATATAGATATCTGCACTTGTTGCTACTTGAAATCCACAAGGTCTAATATTGTGAAAGTGTGTCCTGATCTGTCTAGATCGGCACGCAGGCTGGTCGCGATCAACTCGACACCAGCCTCGTGAGGAGCGCGTTGAGCACTACACTCCTCAAGCCACTTCTCTTTCATGGGATGCTGCCCAAGCTGCCGAGCTCTCAGAGAGTGAGCTGGCCCACATTCTGTGTCCAATCCAAATAAGTTCGAGGCCCATTAGGGGCTCGTTCTGTACTGCAGCGTTGCATAAGCCCCTATTTCCTAGCCTTGAGACAAAGGCATCTAGGTTGAGAGGAGCAGCCCAAATTTTTAGAAGGCAGAGATTCTTTGGATGTACAGCCCCATATTGCTCGTGATGCTCGTTGGGTTCAAGGAGGAAAGAGACTACGCGTCTGTGCCGCTCCCTGGCGTGAGCGTGACAATGCACACTTTTTTGATTTAACATTGGAATAGGGCTGTCTTAGTCCTTAAATTGTCCTGTAGATATTGTCTTGCCATATGGTTTTACTACGTGTCGCTATGTTTTAGGCGCGCCACGCCACAAATATGCCGCCATGGCCTTTGATCCCACTGTTTCCTCAGCAATTGCTGGAGTGGGAATACGAGTGGCTGAGCGGAGACGCGAAGTCACTGGTATGACCGGTATAACCAAAAAAGTTCTTAAAGTTTTTTTGTCAATGAGATAACTTAACACTGTACATCTGCAGCTGGGCAGTGTAAATTACCAGGCAGCCCATGCTGGGCACTCCAGCCATTGTTGAGAAAACGGTGCGAAACAGTTAACATTGGGCAGCATAAAACAATCTTCGCAGGGATCAAAGACGTTACTTATCGCATTGCGATCTAGGCTATATCAAAGCAAAATTCGAGGTTTGGCGGAGCAGACCGCTGCCTAGATCAGAGGCCGGAGCACTTCACTTGTTGACCAAAGCATGACGCAAAAGAGGGCACTTGCTGGCGCAAAAGCTTCATGAACTTCGCAGTCGTTTTGAACTAAGCAGAAACAATACACTGTGCTGGCGCTGACCGCACTACAGTTTTGGCAGTGCACTAGAGGCCTTCTTGGCGTAACTCACCGCTGCACCCGCATCGGAGTCACTGCATGGCAGGCCGATCGCTGCATCATATGGCTGCAGCGCTTAATTCACCAACTCCAGCAAGTTTTACGTCTGGAAAGTGCAGCTCAAGGAATGGCAACAGTGGCATTATACTGGCAGTCGTGTTGTGGATCCCAGACTTCTTAGAAACGGCGAGCAGCACGCCGAAGGGTGGGTTACGAAACCCTGGAAAAAATATGAGTGTCTTTATAAACTGTGCCACCACATACCCAAAAGTGCGGGCTTATGGGCTTCTGTATCCGTAGAAATAATCAATTATGTGAACCATTTCTAAATGCACCGGGAAAGGGCGAAAACAGTGCCATTGTAGGATAATGTTAGACACTTCTGCTCGATGCCACTTCCAGGGTCTGAGTAATTAGTGTCTTCGTGCTTTCGTTGCTCAAGAATCCCTTGACGCGATGGCGGGAAGATATCACCTTTCAGAGGGGGAGAGGCATGCACTGTTGAAACCCTCTACGATTCATATAGCAGAAGCAGTTCGGAACAGTGTGAGCTCTGCGGGATCAAGGGACCGAGGCCAGCTTCGGGTTTTTGCCCGACGGAGACTAAGACGACAGCGGGCATGTTGTTCATCTTCGCCTGCGTTATTTGCCTCCGTGGCTGCCCTTGCGGCTACTGTGGCTTTTCTAGCCCTGTGTCTGGCCGCTCATGTCCGGAAACGGGGGACGGGAGTGGAACGACGCATTCTTTCAGACGTCGGGGGAGATAAAGAGCTCTCTGATGTTCTAGAAGGTTGTGTTTCGCTGGAGGAAGACCTTCGTATTCATCACGATGCTTCTGGGCTTCAAGGGAGAAATTGGCCTGGGCAGCCTATGCCATTGTATGAGCCTACCGAACTTATCGATCAAGAAACCAGTCAGAGATTTCTCCAATTTGGTGGAGAATATCGCAGCAACACCAGAGGATTCGCTAGGATGGAATCTAGTGCAGTTGAAGGAACTTCACGCTCATGGGGCCACCAGAATTATGAACCGTTTGGACAAGCGATGCAGTGGCACTCAGATCAAAGGCTTGAAGGGTCTTGGGCTGGACAGAGTGACAGCGATGACGCTGCCAACGAGGGGAGGCACCGTGGATTTGGGGGTTCACCGCACACCACCACACAGGAGCAAATGCTAGCTGGCGCTTCCTTGCCTCGTGAGAATGTAAGTAGCAACGCTTTCGATGCTTTAGCTCCAGATGCCTGGCTGAGTTCTATTCCACAGTTACTTTTTGAAAGTGAAGAAATGGAAGAAGCACAAATGAGCAATTTTGGTCAATCTTCAGTCGATAATTCGGGGCAATTTACCGCGCAGCAGTTTGTGCCTTCGCTGCATTTGACGCCACCACCTGCTGCTTCTTCGGCATCCCCAAACGGAGATGACGCAAGACATCGTAGGGTTCTACAGTTAGGAAGCTGGAACAAAGGGATTGTACCTGCGCTCAGTTCACATGGCACACAGCAAAACCCCCCCGCTGGAGCAGTAGAGGCGGCAATCCAGGAGCGCACAGACATGGCACCAACCTCGGATGCATTGGCCTCATGGACTGCCGAACGGGTGTGTTATTCATCTTCATCAGGATTATGTTTGGAAGATGCATACAGCAATGGCCGTGGTTGTGTTGATACTCAACCCACAGCTGTGGGACACACATGGGAAGCCTGTGAGGAAAACGCACAGCAAGCATCACAAGTACTAGGATTTGCAGTTGACGCGGAACAGGAGCCGCAGATGTTGAGCTCAGATGCCGCTGGGCCGGAAGGCCCGCAGGCGAAAAAGATGCGTTTTTCTGAGAGGGACATAAGCTTGCATCCTTTTGTGCGGCTGCCTGTGGTTCTTCCGGAAAATGTCCACCGGACGTTTCGTAGGGAGTATGTACTGGGAGACCACGTAGGTGACACAAGCCCAATGCAGATGTATTTGACAATGCGTCAGCTGTTCGCGAAGCCTGCACTAAATGCTGAAGACGTCGAGACGCTATTGAGGACAGCTGAAAGGTTAGCCAATTATGCAAAAAAAAAGTTGAGCAAGCGTACGAGACAAACGGCACCAACCTATGTAGCTAAGAGGTTGGCATCAATACTTATGGCACTTGATTACCTGGTATGCACGATCGAGCTGCTTGGGGACAAAATGGATACTGAAAGTTGGTGGCAGCCGCTTGTACAGGGCATACATACAGGGTATAGTTTGCCGTTGAGGCCATATGCAGTGCCAGAAACCAACATGCTGGCTGAGTGGACTCTCCGGATCAGTGCTGCATTGTCCATCTATAAGAGAGGAGTGCGCCCACCGCTTGAAGAGATTGTTCAACTGAAACGGATGATATTAACGCGCTTGTGCACCAATTCTCAGTTTGAGAATAAACTGTGGAATCTTTGGCGGGAAGATGATAGGATGTATGGTGTTATCCCGAAGACAACCTAAAGGTGAATATTGCAGCAGACATGCTGGTCAATGGAAAAAGCATACCCAGCGCTGCCGCCTCCCACGCAAAAGGCTTTTCACCCACCGGCCAAGTTTTGCGATGCCGTGAGCCTCTGTAGTCCTCCACAATTTTATACTCTTCAATTAATGTGCTGTCAGGATTGCGCAAAGGGGGCTTTTAGAAGTTTGTTTATTTGGCTCCTACCGGAGTGATTTTCGGGCCGTCTGCGTGCCCACCTCCACATGCTTGCTATTAGTGTACTTCCTAGATGCAGTGTCAAAGCTCGCATATTTTTGTGCATTCGGCATTATGCAGAGGTTTCCCTACAAGGGCTTCTATGTGGCTTCTTCTACAGCAATTTTTGGGACGTGCCCAATTTCACATTGGAGCCAGCAGTGTATCCCCTAGATGCTGTGTTAAAGTTCGCATATTTTTATCGTCTGCATAGCCACTTTAGCATCATATGCAGTACTGATTACACTATGTATTTTTTGCGGCTTTGCGTCATCGAGAGGCAGTCAAGTTGCAGCAGAAGAAAGCAGCAACACGGGTATTGGGGTGCAGGGACTTTCCAGGTATTTGTCATGAGAAGTCTGCGCAACATTTGACAGGCTGGCATCAAAGCCATGACGTATCCAACATTTTTCCTGGATGACGCGGAGCAGAAAAAGATGCAAGCTGGCGTGGGTGTTTCCTCACGGAATGATCAGCGCAGCAGGGCTCTCTCGTGACCCTCACTAGTGCGGCAGCAGTCGGTTTTAACAGACATCAAGAGGAGGAAGTGCGCCATTTGCTTCTGAACGGGCAGGTTGCACCCTAGATATTTTGCCGCGTGCCCACTGCGTAGCTGTCCTGTCCTGGACGCATCATTTGGCTCAACTTCACAAAAGTTTATGAAGTTGTCCAGAAAACTTGAAGTGTCTCGTGCTGCAAAGGTGACCTGTGGTGTCTGCGCGCTTCGTACGTTTCGCTGTGGAGCCGCTTCCGCAAAATTCGCCCATTAAAATAAGAACAACTTGGCACACATCATTGATGCTACAATACGGTTCAGACGCGTAAGCGCGTAGACCAGTCCGTGTACAAGCAGTTTACGCAGATCAGCTTATGCCCTAGCTCGAAAGAAATACACTCAACTCATCCTCCTAATAAAAGAATCCTTACGACAGCATGAGGCTCAGCACGCTCCTTATGAACTCGCTGGCGAAACGCAACAGCATGCACTGGCACTACATACACGGCTCTGGCGCCAGAAATGCTCTTCACATAGTGCTCACTAAAGATGACGTGAGAACAACGTAGCCAGATACTCGAAGTCAAAAAGAGCGCAGTCAATTCTCGCGTGCAGCTAGCGCATGTTAGCTAAAATGCCAGCCCCACGATCCGTCTTTCACTAACAGGGCAATGCTCAGCAGCAACTTGGAGACCACCTCGCACCATGCGTCTTCGCATGGGACACAGACAAGAATGCAGCGGCTTCTGACTGGGGTGTCCGCATAATTCCAACAATAGATACAATCCAGTGCGTTCGCATCGTTATTGCCATTGAGAATCGCCTGTGACAAGTTGCTAATCTGTTGCTAATCCGCAGGAAGCTCCTCAAAGCCACTTGCTTGTAAGACTCTCAACAACAACCGCGATTTCACCACTTGCAGCACGAACCTGCTGCAGCGAATCCCACACTCTTTGCGGAGCCCAAAACAGGAACAATCGGATGCTGAGAGCTAAAACGTTCGGTCTCGTTCTCTGAACGCTGCAGCAACAAGTGCAAGTGACCAAACAAACACAGCTAAACACGCCTTAGCTGAAAGCTGCTATGGCAGCCCCAACGGCAGCCCCAAGGGAAACTGACAACCGATCAGACCAAACCAGCAGCCCCCTTGACAGCCAGTCATCTACATGCTAAGTGCCAGTGCACCTGATTAGCTTTAATCGGAACCTGTCGATTGGCTCACCTCGGGGGTCCCCTCCCTGTGCTGCAAAGGTCATTTCCTGCTTGCTTGCAGGGAAAAGCTCAATATACCGCCGATCCATCCGAGCACCATTCTTTGCCTGCAGGGCTCGCCAGGTTTCACTTACGTCCGAAAACTGAACGTACGCCTCTCCAGAAGGCCGTCCATCTATAGGGATAGTTGAGGGAAGAATGGCTGTCATGTGGAAACCTTGGAAGAATTGCTGAAGACGGAAACACAGAAGAAGCTGCACCCATGAGTCGAGAAGGCATTGCAGCCAGAAATTGAACTACCATGGGCTTTGCTCAAATGCGTCCGAAGTTCCACTTTGTCGCTCTCTCACCACAATGTGCTGCTCATTTGCATTGAATGGCATTCCTCTGAGTCTCAAGACAGTATAATTCCATCCAACGGGAATAGGAGCGACATCCTGTACAGGTGGACTCTGCACAACTTGTGCAGGTGGTTGGGTGTAGGCCGCCTGCTGAGTAGCACCTCCGTACCCTCCGTAGATATCACTGGGGGCACCATAGCCACCATAGCCTCCCTGTGGCGCCCCCATGGCATCCATGCCCCCGTAACCTTGAGCGGAGCCCATACCTGTCGCCATGGTTCCGTATGGCTGTGGCGCCGGCGCGTAACCTCCGCTGTAGGGTCCCTGGGCAGTGGCCCCCATCATACGAGCCTATCACGCAAGAAATAATGGTACGCAAGCTTGTGTTCATGCCAATGGACATAAGCAAGCAGTTCAGCACGAAAGAGTGACCGAGCATAATCTAGCCCTATATCTCACGTTTACTGGACGGAGCATGCGCATGGCACCCACACCCACACCCACGTCAGGTGGTATGATCCTCCCAGGCCGCTTTGCCCTATGCATTTCCTCTCGAGTTGACGGATATACCTAAAGGTACCGAAGCACCCGCGCAGCGAATGCACTGCAGTTAGACCTAACTGACGAAATCTACGTAGCCGAAACCAGAAAATTATTCTACAGCTCAAAACGTAAGTGCAATGCAGCCTATCTGTCACGATATGCCTGCTATGGCGCGCATCGTTCCGCAGCCGCACCTCGACAAACCGGCGGCCAAGGTATTTCCTGTGCAACTTCTCCTTTGCTGCATCTGCAGTGGCTGCGTCTGGCAGTTCAACGTACGCAATACCATTCATCCTACCGTCCACCGCGACGCCCAACACGACAGAGTCAAGCCCAATCTCAAAACCATGCTCTGAAGTGAAACACAGCAGCCAACTCCTAAAGCACGGCCTGAAAAACAAATGAACAGCCCTGCCATACGTCATACGGGCTGTTATAGCGAAGGTGAAGGCGCACCTTGAAAAAAGTTCACGACATTCATTTCAGTGCATGTCCACGGCAGTCCCCGCAGTTTGAGGACGGTCTGCAGTAAAACCATCCAAAGCATCGATTCACCGTCGTTCCCAACGTCTCCTTCGACCCTTGTATCAGGATAACTACACCAGGAACGCTGGCTTTGGTGAAGTCATGATTGCATGCTTCTGGGAAATCACCCCCAAAACTCACCAAGTTCAGCACCTTAACGTCAGCATCGCGGCCATCCCGGCTGTCCGAGCTCAGCATCGCCACTCGCCGTTGCTGGGCCCTCTCAAAGTCTTCGGCACTGGATCGGAATACCTGATGAACACGAAAGCAGTGTCAATGTGACCATGCCTGGAAGGCCCGATTCGGATGGTCCTAATTCAATTCAGGGGCACCAATGAGTATCATCGTTCTCATCCATCTGGCAAGGCTCTGGCGTTCCCAAACGCCCTCGATACAATATGCAAAATGCACACCGCTCCCTGCGGGAAGATAGCCAGTAAGACCACTCACTTCTATCCAGCGCGCACCCATCATACGGCCGTGCAGCATCCGGACCGCCATGTCCCTCATTTCCGTCGTGTGAACGTTCACGTAGGCCTCCCCCGTTACGCGTTTCTGAAGAGCCAACCATCCAGCAGCAGCATCAAAATATCCCACATACTCCGCCGTAATTCCCCTTGGCACAAAATGAAGTGAGCGTCTATCATTTATGAAATCACGGCCAGCGCATAAACAAAGTGTCCTCGTGCCTCTATTCCTCCAACTTCCGCAGATGTTCCGACCAATATTTCTAACAACACTTAGGACCGCCTGTGAGTGCTTAAAATTACTGTGCTGGCAGAAAGTAAATGAGCGCACGTTAAGGCCGACGCAGACGCAGACATCTGATTCCCTGATTTCGACAACGGGCTTTACAAAGCGGATGATTGCGTCTTCGTTTACATCCCACGGTAGTCCCCTTAAACGGATGTGTGTCCCAACGCCAGGAATTCCATTTGACGCAGGCGTTGGTAAAGGTTTGGTGGTCTGTCGTGGCGGATCCTCAACGTTCACGGAGTGCTCCTTAAGCAGCACCAGACCCTTAGAGAGCAGCAGAAACAAAATGGCACACATGCACCTGCACGCCGCCAACCCTTCCTCCCTCCCTTCCGGTGCTGCCAAATGCAGCGCGCCCGCAGCCGTGCCCAAGCTCCTCAAGTCATCCCCCTTTACTGCAAACAAGAACACCGAAGAGCCCACACAACCCAAGCTACGCCGCAAACGAGCTCCACCATATTAGACCAGGCGCATCCTGCACGCCACAAAGGCACGCTTTTCGTCGCCCCGATCTTCAGCGCCCTCCGCCTTCAGGTTAACGCGTCTTAACCCTTCGATATATGCTAGCGGCTCGGCAGAAAAATATAGGTTCTTTCAGTAACAGTACGCATGCAATGGCCACCTCGCCAGAACCGACGCACAAAAGGCATTAAGCAAATAAACAACGAAAACACAAGAGTTAAAATGGACATACTGAAGTCACGGACTCATTCTGCCAAATGACCACATAACCACATAGTAAGCTGTGCGCTGATGTTCGGCTTTCACCTAAGGCATGCGTAGACCTCTAACAAAACTCTTCCTGCCCAAACCGAAAAAACTTCGAAAACAATTCCCCATCCACTGAAGCACCATGGGAACCAGCCTACAAAGATGCGCCTCATGAACCACA